GCCTGGGGATCACCTGCAATGCCTGCAGAACAGTAAGGGTTGAGGCCAATTTCTTTTTCTGTTATCTTTGTCCCAAAAGGATACATGACAGATGTCAGATCAGGTGTCTCTTCGGATATACGGGATTTGGGGAGTTGCCTGAGGAGACAGTCTGTCCCTTATAGGGGCTCAAGTGCTGAGCTGTGAGCTCCATTGTTCCATTCAGAGCTGCTGGGCAGGTACATTTAAGTCTGCTGCAGCAGAACTCATAACCAACTTTTTTTCCCAGGTGCTCTGTCCTGGGAAGGTGGGGCTTTATTTATAAATTGCTGACATGCTGCTTTTATTCAGATATGCCCCCCAGTGGGGAGGTAGCCTAGTCACAGTGCACCAGCAGAGGCGTTGCTGAGCTGCTGTGGGCTCTGCCCAGCTGCTGTGTGAACTTACTTGCAGTTTTCTTTATAGAGGTATAGTTAGAACTGTCTCAGTAATGGTGGTCTGCCTCAATAATGCAGGCTGTCTCTGTCATGGCTAACTGCCTCAGTAGTGGCAGATTGCCTCGGTAATGGCGGACTGCCTTGGTAGTGGCGGACTTCTTGGTAGTGGTGGACTGCCTCAGTAATGGCAGATACCCTCCCCCTACAGAGCTGGACCGTCCCAGGTCCAGCTGTCCTTGCTGTGAAACTCTCAATCCAGAGTGTTTCAGACTGCTGGTCTTTGTTGGGGTGGGATCAGCTGAGCCAGATCACCTGGCTCCCTCTTTTAGCCCCCATTTTTTTCAGTTGAACAGGCGATTCTGTCTCCCAGGCATTCCAGGCGCCAGTTGAAATGGCCACCCTGATTTGTGTGAGTTTTTGTGTGGATACCTGTGTGCAGGCTGAAACAGCTGTGCTGGAGACTTGTGGCACTTTTCCACCTGGGAATCTCCTGGTCTGTGGGCAGTAAAAACTCGTTTGGAAATGCAGTTGTCACTCACTTTCTACATTCTCGCTGGGAACTGCACGCCAAAGCTGTTCCTATTCGGCCATCTTGGATCTCAAGATAGAGTTTTGCAATACTGCCCAGGCTGATCTCAAAGGATCCTCCCACCTTGGCCTCCCAAAGCTCTGGCATTACAGGGGTGAACCACCACATCTGGCCCACATATATTAATAACTAACATTCACTAGGCATTTAGCAGTGTGTCAGGCAATGTGCTAACCACTTGATATGCATTATCTCACAGAATCTTCAAACTAAATCTGTGACATAAGTACTGTTCACAGTATGGATTAGAAAATTAAAGACACTTGACCAATGCCACAGAGCCACTAAGGGGTGAACCATAATTCAAACTTAGGTTGGTCTGTCTTCAGAAGTTAATTTCCTATCCACTGAATCATATTTCATCTGTTCCTCCAAATACATTTTTCTGGGGCTTAGCAATGCCAGTTGATTCACCTGAGATTATCAGCAAAGGAGTAGCAATACAAGGACTCAAACCTAAACCATCAACACTAAGTCAGTGATCTTCCATCACCTTACGTTGCAACATAATAACCCCTACAGCACCCCTGTCAGCGGTAGTCACAGGCCAGACACAGGAGGAAAAAGGAGAGGGAAAAGGCTACTCAAGAGCCACAGGCATAGAATGCTGCTGGCTCACACCCCTGCTCTCTTTTAAAGTCAAAAGGAAAACAGAGGAAAGAATGCATAAGATGCGGCAAGAAAAAAAATGAAACCGTATTACTTTACACTAATTTAAGGCAGCTGTATAACCTATATGTTAGGAGGCAGAGAGAGTTCAAATGACAGAAAAGAGGTAGTATATGGACTAAATAAGGATACATGTTTAAATATTTAAAGAACTTCTGAATCTTGACATGTGAAAGTCAGCAATAAAAATGAAAACAGATGAAATAAAGTTACTATATCTTTCTTTCATAAGAGGCTAGGATAAGAAAAGTTCAAAAAAAATTCTTAATATTGGAAGCTCTACAAAGCAATCTCTCAATGAGAGAAAAACTCCAAACTGGTAGTTATAAAAATGTACATTTAGAGCCAGGTACAGTGGCCTGTGCCTATAATACTGGCCATTTCGGAGAATGAGGCAGGATCACTTGGGCCCAGTTCAAGTCCAGCCTGGGCAATACAGGGAGACCCCAATCTCTTAAAAAAAAAAAAAAGTACACATTTAATTTACATAACACAGCTTATAAAATCCAAATTGTGCACATGTCTAGAAAATAGATCAATAACCTGAATCAACTGCTTTTAAAGAATTAAAAATCCTTCTCTAAAAAGAATTGTAAGTCCCAAAACCTGCTGAAGTCTAGCATGAACACTGAAATTAATATTCAAAAAATAGGTTTGTTTTTTTTCTGATTTTTTAAATGCTTTTATTTTTGAGATGAAGTCTTGCTATGTTGCCCAAGCTGGTCTTGAACTCCTGAGCTCAGGCGATCTACCCAACTTGGCCTCTCAAAGTGCTGGGATTACAGGCATAAGCCACTGTGGCCAACTCAAAAAATAGGTTTTGGAAGCAAGTTATAATAAAGCAATTTATTACAATTTTCTTCAACAAGCTATTATTTCAGCTCTAGCTCTGGTCATATACTTGTTTTTGGATGTCTGCTTCTTTCTCTGGCAAAATCAAGAATTTAAATATTCACTAGGTTTTATGGAGCAGTAAAATCAGTATAATGTTTAAAAAAAAGTTCCTAAAATATTTTTCAACAAATGTTTGTAAATGGATGTCAAAAGTAAGCCTGTTTTGTGTGTGTGTTTTAAAAAACACTGCCATAGACCAGAGTGCCTGTCTGAGAAGCAGTTTAAACAAAACACTACTTCAAGAGCAAAATTGATTATGATGAATGTGTCAAGTGAAATTAGAAATCCACTAACGCTAATTGGATATATTCTGAACATATTAAACTTCTGAAGATATTTTCATGAACCCTTTGCAATTTCCTATCAACACCCATGCATGGCTGCACTTTGGATGTACCCACAATTTGACACAATATAGGTTATTATGCTTAATAACTTTCAATCGCTCAGGGTGAATCCATAGTTTAAAGAAATGAGAAAAGCTACAGTGTGAAGACACCCCTTCTAAAAGGGAAAATGAAATATTAAAAAGCTTGAAGAGTAATGACAGAGTAAACATGGTTGTGTTTTTTCAAATATAAGAATTATAGAGCCAGATGGTCACGATGAAAATCTAATACACAAAAATTAGAACTTGCCAGCCTATGGAAAACATAAAATATTTCATAAATGGTTTTACAGATAAGTTCAAGGAGGGTTATCAATCAATAGATTGCATTTCCAGAGTGGTCAGTGAGTAAATCAGGGCATATGTCATTGAGGACAATCCTGTTATTTCCCATGTAGTCTCTTCGTACCTCTGTCAGAGGCAGATCACTGGGCTTCATGGAAGAAAGGTCCAATAAGCAATACTAATGTTCTTAGGAATCAAAATGATAGCAGAGCAGGAAAAAAACACCCACGGTTTGGCATGTGTGAATATAAACATCAGGTGCAGACAGAAAAGGTGCCTTAATGTTATAGGAAGTTGCTAAACACATATAAATACAGTCTGTGAAATTGCCAAGGCATCAGACATTGTTTTGCACAACTGAGACAGCATTACACAATGAGGGCATTGCTCTTACAGGGTTCACTGACGCGTGAACCCATGAAATGATAAACGAGCATACGGTGCTTACAACTATGAAGAGAAATTATGATATTACATAATTATGATATCATAGAGACAAAAGCAATTTCATAGCTTCATTCGAGGAATATCCGGGTGACGGGTGGTGTGTGACCACAAAGCAGGGGTGGGGTTAGGAACATCTGGCCACACACGTGTACACTGGGCCGGCTTTCCCCAGCTTCGGACAGCCCTAGCCTCATTTCTTCGCCCTCCTCATTGAGGGACGTTATGAGGACATCTGCTTTACTACTGACATTTTTTCCCATTTCACATAAATATCCTTAGCCTGTTTAGCCTGTGTCTGATGTTTAGTCTTCACAGAGGAGATAGATGCTCAAGGCCAAAGATAACACGCAATGCCTTTCGTTTCACCTCAGAAAAAATACTTCTTGGCCCAGAGGTTCGTAACAGCCCAAATTCCAATTTTCTTAACGTGATGAGGACTTTCCCTATAGCACAAGATACAAAATGTTTCCAATGCAAAAGGTCTATTTTTGCACATCTGCCCAATAACAGCTCAATTAAAAACAGGCCCATCAGATTGACAGTTTCCTTAACTGCTTAGTTCCTGTTGCACTGCAGACAGCAGGAAAGCACTTAATGGCAGCCATAAGACAATTTTCCAGTAAGACTTGTTAATCTTTATACAGTCATCCTCATGCAGCCATCAAAGTGAACTTAATGACAAATCAGTTAAAATAAATTACTTTTAGGAACTTGTTTAAGGATTGAATAAAAACAAACCATATGTGACACCTCTTCGGTCCTCGCCATGATGGCATATAATTATCACCATCTGTGCTGTTTATTCCATTTGTCCAGCCTATCTGCTCCCCTAAACACCCTCAGAGCAACTCTTTGCCTTTCTCTGTCCTGTTCTGGGCCCCAGGAGGCTGACCTCTAAGCACCACAGGGCTGTGTCTGCAACAGGGGTGCCCCTGCTCTCTGGCTTTCAGCTGGGCTTAGCCAATGAGAGGCACCAGAAAGAGATCAGAGAACAGGAGAAGGGATGGCAGGAAGTCACGCCCTCCTCATTGCTCCTGCAGTCAGGCCGCCCCTCGCCCCTCATCCTGGCTCAGGCTTCAGGGCTCTAATGTCGCGCTCCCTCCCCTTACGCTCCCAGGCCCAGGTGTGCTTCTAGCTTCCAGCTGCTGCTAGGTCCCAGGTGCTTCATTAGCCCTAGCTGGTTCCCATAACCTTGCCCACATCTCCATCAACAATCCTTAACTAGTCTTTCTTCAGTCTAAACACCCGTTGTCGGCCAAGACCTTGGCTGGCAGACTGTCGGCAGCCAGAGCACTTACGTGGGATCACTTACGTGGACTGTGTGGACGAGGTCGGCCACCAGGCACTGTTTCAGCTTCTCGTCACTGCTGGTCCCGTGAAGCACAAGATCGGGCATGTATGTGGGGCAGTAGCCCGCCAGAAGGGAGCGGCCAAAGTTCCTTACATTCTGAGTGCTGACGCTCTGAGACCTAAAACAACATTTGGCCCATTAAAATGCACAGCTGCAAATGTACTTTCTTCATTCATTATAATTGGTACAAGCACCCCAATGACACAGGTAAACAAAACAGATTCAGGGTGGTACATGTCACCAAGCCTCAAGTTAAGTGGATCACAGGTGTGAGAAAAAGGAAGGGACTGGGGGAGAAAAGGGAGTATTTTAAAGTGGAAGGTGGGGGGTGGCAAGGAAAGTATATCCATGGCTAGTTATGAGTTTATTTTTGTTCCTCATATTGGACATCCACCAGGCAGTCTGTGTCAAAATACTGAGGAAAGAAAAAGTCTGAGGAAGGGCTCTTGCCAAAAGCCTGGCTTGAGGAATCTGACATATCTGCACAGAGTGGTGCCAACGACAGTACCGAAGATCAGAAGAAATTTCTCATTACTGCTTTCAGTCATCACAGACCAGATAATCAACCTGACGGAGTGTTATAAGGAAGAGGTGCGGTTTCCCAACCACCTCACACTGCTCTGGTCAGCAGGAGAGAGGCCACACAGTGAGTGTAATCCACCACCTCCCAAGCAAGCATCTGCTGCCAGCCACGGACCTTCCCTGCAGTTGACAGACAATTAAACTCCCTGTTCCCTCCCCCACCTCCACCACATCCCTTAGCTTCCCCTAGCGGGTCACGATGGCTTCGAAGACAACCACCGGCCGCCTGCCCCTGTGAGCTCAGTGGTGCTAAGCCGGTAGCCATCCTTGGAAGGACTGGCGAGAAGCCGTTTGTAATGGAATTGATAGTACTGCTAATGTTCTGTGGAAAAAAAAAACACCGTGTGGGAAGCAGACAACAGTAGCTAACGCGATCACAGATGACAGGACAGGAGGGGGGAATTCAAACTCAGTGCCCTCTACTTCCCAGCCTGCCGGAGTTACCTTGGCAGAGGCAGCTCCACTTCCGAGGACCCCCCAGTCCTGTCAGCACCGGGACCCAGGTCCAGCGTGGCGGAAGCGCAGGCTTCGTCGTCACTGTCTCCCAGGGCGCTATCCGAGCTTTCATTTCGGGGAATGTCTCCTTCAGTCCTGAAGTTGGCCTTCTTGTTGGCATCCCCACAGGGGATATTTGCAGCAGCCGCGAGGCCAGGGCCCCGCTGGACACACCTGGGGGCAACAGGCTCCAGCACAGGTCCTTCCGCAGCCTTCACATACAAACCTCTAGCTGCCTCCAGCCTCCTCCCTCCGGTTCCTGCCACAGTGGCAGGGGCTGCGTCCGAGTTGGCAGCGTGGCTGAGCTGCCCTGCAGCATGTGCCGCCGCTTCGTTTCTGCTGCCCCTGTCCTCTGCAAAACCTTTGTCAGACTCGCCTTCATCCCCCTCCAAAGGCTGATTCTGAGGGCAGCAGACGCTCTCTTGAAAGCCAGGGTTGAAAGGGCTCCCAGAAACCTGCGGGTCCTGAGCCACATCAGTGGCCGCCCTGGCCTCCAGCGAGGGGTCACAGGCCTTCATCCGTTCCTCCATTTTTTTCATGCGGCTTTCCAAGTCAGACTCTGGAGATGTGGAGCTCCCGATCTGGAAAGTGACCTTTTCTAAGGGAGGTTTCTCCCGGAGATGTCTGTCAGGGCAAGGCCAGGCCACTGACCGGTCTGGCAGTCTCTTAGGCATCTCCACTTTACACAGCTCACAGACAGCTTGCTGGTCCAGCTTCATTCCTGCCCCCAGAGCTGCACAGCTGGAAAGTCTTGAAGAGCCATCTTGTGGTGCCTCTTTATTTTTTTCATCCCCACAAAAGCCATTCTGAGGTTTCCAGGAGCCATCCGATGCTGGCTCCTGGTACCCTGTGCTACAAGCCTCAGAACCCTGCTCCGGCCTCCTGTGAGCTTCTTTGTCAGGTTTAAGACTCGGGTCTCTACTGTCAGTGCCCTCTGGGCTCTCAGGAAACTCTGCCGGCCAGGGGTTCTGTCTTTCTGCTGCTGTTGGTGGTAGGATGGGAGGTACAAGAGCAGGCTCGTTCCTCACCGTAACGACCACATACTCAGACTCCTCCACCTCTCCTTTCTCCAAGGCTGTCATGATCTTGCTCCCGTTTAAAACTTGGTCACCTTCACCGTGATTGCCACTCCAGGTCAGCTGGTTTTCTTGTAGCTCAGAGCAACGGAGAAAGTAGGTCAGGACATAAAGTATTCGCTGGACCAAGTCCTTCTGCTTCCCTACCACCACGGTGCGAGTCAGTCTCACTGGAGAGCCTATGGCTCCGTAAAGATCACCTAGACAGCAAAGGTGGACACAAAGGCAGTGGTCTCTGGGGTTAGCATGTCACAGATATATCAGCCTTTACAAGAGCAAAGCAGGTGACTTATTCCCAATCTGGAATCACTGCTTCCGACTCCTGATTTCTACTTTCTAGTAATGACGACATTTTAGTTTGGCCACTGTAAGAGTGTCAGCCTGGACACAGGCTGCGGCTGGTGACCCCTGGTGTGTGGGAGTCGTGCTGCTGTGCACACAGCCCCTCCCGGTGCCTGCTGGGTCTTCCCCGCAGCTCAACGGGTCCACCAAAGAGATGGCCCAAGGAAAGCTAAAGCCAGAGCTCTGAATATGTGACAAGATCTAATACTATATATCTTGGAAACTAGAATAGTAAGAATTTGTTGGAAGAATTCCAGGACACTGGGCCTTGGGATAAAATTGAAATTCAGGAAATTTCTCAACAGAAGGGCAGTGAATTAATTTAAAATACTTAATGAGGTGGTCTACATAAAATTCTTTTAATATGCATACCCACACCAAGTAGGATCAGTTTGATTAACAAGAAGAAAATCACTTAGTCATGAATAATGAGTCTGAAGGTTTTATTTTACTTCACTTGAAAATTCAACTGGGCTAGGTGCCGTGGATTATACGTGTAATCCCAGCACTTTGGGAGGCTGAAGCAGGCGATCACTTGAGGTCAGGAGTTCAAGACCAGCCTGGCCAACATGGCAAAACCCTGTCTCTTCCCAAATACAAAAATTAGCCAGGCATGGTGGTGTGTACCTGTAGTCCCAGCTACTTGAGAGGCCGAGGCAGGAGAATTGCTTGAACCTGGGATCCAGAGATTGCAGTGAGCTCAGCGAGACTGTGTCACTGCACTCCAGCCCAGGTGACAGAGCAAGACTCTGTCTCAGAAAAAAAAAAAGAAAAGAAAATTCGACTGGAAAAAAAAATGTCCCATCAATTATATCCTGACAAGTTGATTAAAAACTGACTAATGGGCCGGGCGCGGTGGCTCAAGCCTGTAATCCCAGCACTTTGGGAGGCCGAGGCGGGTGGATCA